ATACTATTTAAAATATTGATCACATTACACTATACTGTTATATAAAATCAAAGATGAATATGATGAAACACTAAATATTTTATTGATTCGATTGTGTAATTTATAAGAAGTATTTACACAATAATTCCTTGTGAAGAGTTCTAATATAAATTTGCTTATAAAATTTTAATCACCAATCTAGCTTAATAACATATCATATTCTAACAAAACTTAATGTTTGTGCAATAAATTGATATTAGTTGAATAAATGATAAACTAAGCTAGAATTAAAATACACAAGCATGCAAATATTACGAAATCAAATGCAAGAGTAAAAGAGAGATGACACCGATATTTATAGTGCTTCGGCTTCCGTCCTCGCTTTGCCTACGTGCACTCTTCAATGGTTTCCCATTACAACCTGCATTATTTCTTTTAATTTTACAGATATTTGCAAGACTTCATACAATCACCAGTCTCCAATACAACTAATAAAATAAAAACATCTTATCTGGGTATTGACTTGCATACAATGCAATGCCAAACTCTACTACATAATCTTTACTCGAATTACGTTTTTTGAATCTTTCAATAACACCTATCTGCTCCAAATCTTCATGTGTAGAAATCAACCCTTTGATCCTACCGATTCCTTGAGTAATGATTTGTCTGAAGATTTAACAAGAAATCTGCCTTATCTGTTGCCTTCCACACAATCACAACTAAGACAATTATCCAAAGAAGAACCTACTTCTATTTAATGGAATTTTTCATCACCATTGGCAATCACCTCAATCTTGTAAACAACTTGAAAAACTAAACACGGTCTCTAAGAACGATTAGTTTCAAGGACGCGTCTTCTTCAATCAATTACAAATATCTTGCCATCATGATCTGAATCAAATTCAAGTTGAAGATGCAGGAATTTTAGTTGCAAGACTTTGAACTTTTAAAATAGAGGAAATTGATTTTTCACTAAATCACAATGTAGATTATGATCAAATAATAAAATGTTTTGAGAAAAATGATGACCAAAATTAAAATAGAGGGACCAAAATTATAATTAAGTAAAAAATGTTTATATGTGATTGAGATTAAGCACTGAAAATGGTTAAAAAAGACAATTATATACGAATCAAGAGCAATTCATGATTTGAATCAAATAAACAAGTGAAGTGGAAAAAAAGAAAAAAAAACATGAATTTAAATATTTGTCAGTTATTTCAAATTATGAGAAAAGTGTGATTTGAATCAATGGCCTCGTGATTCGAATCATGTGCAAAAAATCATTCGGATCAAATGCAACAGACTCAACTGGAAAATGCTAGAAAATTGTGTGATTCGAATCATGTACCATATTCGATTAAAATCAAATATAGCAGAGGTGACCAGTAGGAAATTGATTTGAATCTTGCTAAAAAATTATTCATTTAAATTTTTTATGAGAAGTTGTTTTAACTAACTTCTCATTTGAAGTTTATTTTTTTATTTTAAAAAAATATCTTTTAAAACTTTATAACAGAATATTCATTAATATTTAAATCAACTTCTCTTTTGTTTTTATTTTAGTTATTTTTAAAATTTTAGTATTTAAATAACAAGTCATCATAAAAGATATTAGTTGTAACAAACTTTACATTTAATACTTGGAAAGAACAAGAGTATTTCAAGGAGCACGCTTATGATGGTACTTCCCTTATGGTTGAGAACGTGAGAGATGAGGATGTTCAACACCTTTGTAAGAGTCTAGTGCAATGGTGAAGTGTAAGAGGAGACTCTAAGGCCTAATTACATGTTCCAAGTGAATCATGTACGTACTGGACGAAGGGTAGCAGATAAATCAAGTGTATTCGACCTACAAAGGGAGATCGAGTTCAAGGTAGTTCACCAGGAATTCAATATTCAGTGAGAGGGAAATTTGAAAATAATAAGTTACCCAAGGATACGTTATGAGGGAATGTGTTATAGAATGAACGGTTATTTTATAGTAATGGAAGTTCTAATGGTATGGTCAAAGGAGGTTTGTGATGAAAGATAAAACAAGCAATTTGGATTCGAGGAAACTCTAGTAGGATTACTTTAGGAATTGGAATTAAGAAAAGTGCCATGGGTAGTGAAGCAAACACATAATGGAGAACATGGTCAACGTTGCAATATGAAAATGGTAACAATATGTATTTTGGGCGAATGTACAATGGAGTTATTGAGTTTTGTAAAGGCTAAGAAAAAAGGTGTACTTGATGGTTGTTCACTCATGAAGACTTTTGACAAGTGAATTAGAGTAAAAGAAGTTGCACCTTGGTATTATGAGATACATGGTAGTAATATTATGGTCACAAGTGTACGTAACAGACTCCTAGTCTTGAGACAGATGCGAAGTCACACCCTATTTGTTGAATAGTGAAAATCACGTTCTAAGAAGTGAGACTGTGGTAAGCAACGAGAAACAAACCAATATTTAGTACAGACTAAGTGTAAATAGTGGAACAGACTATACCAGGTGTCTTGTAGGTAGTTGACAAGAGTTATCGATTACAAGTCATTCAATAAGTGGTTTTGGTGTAGCGAAGTGTTCAATGGATATTGGATGGGAAGAGAATCCCAATCCATAAGCATGCGAGAGATGTCAAGGTTCTTCAAGAGGAAGTATTATCTTGGTTGTCAAGAGTGGGAGGATTTTCCATATTTGTGGATGATCAAAGTATTATGAATCTACCTTTTGTTGGACTAAGAAAGTTTGTAGTTTTGATTATCACCAAGGAATTTTGGTAAGAGTACGAGGTTGTGTGCTTGACATGATATGTCCATGACGGATGTGGTACCATGCAGTGGTTATGTATTGAGGTTTGTTTATGGGTGAATCAAGTATGAGTTTGTGGCTAAGATCTTTGAATGCCATCATTTGGTGAATTCTTCTAGTGTCGTTGTGCGAGCCTTGACGAGTGGAAGGCGAGTTCGCTGACTACTACAGCGCGGCCGTGATAGAACTTTGAAATTTTGCTTTATTTCTCGTTTGGAGTGTGTTGTCTGCATGTTTTAGCTTTGTTTTATGTTACCTGATGTTGATCGTGGTTGGTGATTATTATGCAAGTTGAGGAGGTATGATTGGAGGATAAACATGCAAATTAGTGTAAGACAAATTGACGGTTTCAGAGTTGTAATCTTTAGAAGCGTATTACATAGTTGATTATCTATATGAATGCCAAAGGAGCTCGACGTTGGGGAAATGATATAGTGGAACGTACTTAGTAAGGGAAATACTTGGGTGTATCACCATTATGACCATTGAGATTAAGGGCCTTAAGAGTGAGATTGGACGAGACTTACTAAGTGATGACCTTGCAGAGGACGGTTTGTCATTTTTTTTTATTTTTGCGTAGGTGTTAGTAAAGTATGAACGATTATCATGAATGAGTCATTGCAAAAGGAATGAGCTTTTGATTTTTTTTAATGAGAAGTTGTTTTAGCTAACTTTTTTATTTGATTTTTTTCTAAATTTCTTAAAATTTTATAACCAAAACAAAACAAAATTTTAATTTTTTTTTTTCTGTTTTAAAAATTGTAACAAACAAGTGCAAAGTTCATTTCAAAAATAAGTCTTTAAATATTAATAAATCTTTTTACAACAAATCATTTTAATTTATCTTTGGATTTTTGTCTTAAAGTTATTTATTTAAAATTTAAATATTTAATAAATATATTTAAATAACTGGAAGCAGGAGAAATCACTAAAAGAATGCAAAGAAAAATATATGGGTGGAAGCAAGAAAAAAAGGAAACCAAAAAGTCTTGAAAGAGATCCAAAATAAAGTTTTTAATGGAATTATAGGATGATGTCAAATTAATGATCCAAAAACCTAAAATGTATGCTCGAGAAAACAAATACATTCAAGTGCATTTGAATGGTTTAGGCATATGCACCACTCTCTAGACTGATAACCTAGAGCGAAGTGTAATGTAGTCAATAAAATGTTTCAATGATTAGACAAGATTTTTTTTTTAAAAGTGTTCCCTGGACCTCATCATTGCCCCCACACGGAAACAAAAGCGTAACATCGCTCGACTAGATTTGAAGACTTGATATATCTTTTGGCATAACAAGCCTAAGGGAAAATGTATCGGACCAAACGAAGGCTCGATAAGAGGATTAAGAAAGCCAAATTTTTGCCATAGTATTATAAATATCCTTTTTTTGAAGCAAACTAGATATGAGACTCATTTTCTCAAGATTTCATTTCAGTTTGAGCTTTTCATAAATCATTTGAGTGTTGGAGCTACAAGCATCGTCAACACCAAGACCTACCTCTCTCATTCTTGTTTCACATCAGAACAAAAATCATCAACAATAATAATTATTTTTTGAAGTTTTAAAAAAAATTAAATTTTAATGTTGCAATATTTTAACATTAAAACAAAAATATAATTAATTATTATTTTGTCAAGGATTGTGATAAACTATGTTTACTTATAGACCAACACAAATGAAAACTAGATAAATGTCTCATTAATGGTTAATAATAAAGTCAAGTTTATCTAAACGAGTTTATGAAGAGTGAATTAAACATAGTTTAGGTATATGCGAGTTTATCTAAACTATTTAATTAAGTAGAATTAAATTATTTAACAATAGATAAACAAAATTGATGTTGGGTTCTATATCACAAATACAAACAATTTTTAAAACCTAGTTAAAAATTAAAGTACTTCAAAAACTTTCGCAAGAATTAAAGTGATATACTTGCAGAGTTAATGTTGGAGTTAAAAGGTTCACGTGCAGTTATCACTTGAGTAAGTACTGATGGTTCAACAATAACAATAACAGAATGCTGCAGCTTAGATTTGCATGACATCGAGATGAAACATTTAGCAAAAGATACAATGTCATAATCTATGATTTAATTAACAAAATAGTAACAACTAAGATTCATGACAGATACGGAACAATCAAATTTTAAAAGAATCACAAACTGGTTATGCAGAATTTACACATTTCAATAACTTGACAGATTTCCAAACAGTTTCTATAAATATCTTGTACTGTTGTGAGTCTTGCTTCTTCCTCTATCCTCAAGTTTCCACGCATCCTTCAATGACTTCCATTTAAGTTCGAAATTCTCACTGAACTTTTTTGCAATTCGGTAGATATGATTCCTTGGAGGATACATGAGCATTGCATTTGAGAACACAAGCCTTATGTCACTAGCAAACTCATCAGGTGTTGCATACAGCCTCAATTTTCTCTCAATATCCTTCAAACCAATTCCTTTTGACTTTGACTCAGACTTATCAATCATTGCTATTTTTGGAGGATCTTTCAAATCCCACCCATCTCTATCGACCATCATTCTCTTCAATATCAACCAACATTGCCTCCTCTTAACACACTCCATCGGTTTCTTCTTCAACCCACACTCTTCCCCACCGTTAAAACCTATTTCTGTTTTTGAAACTTGGTTCTTGATTATCTTCTTGTTTTCAACATCAATGTTATTAGGCATAACTCTGTTGGAAACTTGATTCTTGATCACCTTCTTGTCTTCAACAACATTATCATTATTCTTTGTTTGAGACAAAGCTGATGTTTTGAAAACTTGGTTCTTGATCATCTTCTTGTCTTCAACAACCTCTGGTTGAGACAAAGCTCTTGTTTTGGAAACTTGGTTGTCTTCAACAACATTGTCATTATTCTTTGGTTGAGACAAAGCTGATGATTTGGTACGATAATTTGAATCAACCCAATGACATGTTACCATTGGTTTTACAGAATCTTCCATCTTCCTTCTCTTGTTTTCATCCGTGGTTCTTGATCCAGGAGGATAACTCAACTTAATGATGAGTCTTTTACGGGGATTCGTATTCTCGGACATGGTTGCGGTTAAAAAAAAAAGGTTTGTGTTATGCTTTTGAGGAACAAGGTTTAAGGAAGATTATTAAATATGATGTTTCTGTTAAGGTCTTCCTCACTTGTGGGTATATATAACCGAGTTTGCTGAAAATTAGTAATGATGAATAGTAAGATTTGATTCGACTGTTCTATGATTTAGGGAGGATATATCATTAATGTTTAAAACAACCTTTAATATCAATTCTTATTTTATTATCTAAACAATAAATCTAAGAATAAGTCATGAGAATAAAACAACCTTTGATAAATAATAAGATTGTTTAAAACAACCTTTAATATCTATTCTTATTTTTTATTTAATTATTGTTTTTAAATTTTACCATCTAAAGAATAAGTCATCGCCAAAAGTAGTAGCATTTAATTATTTTTTCATGAGAAGTTGTTTTAACTAACTTCTCATTTAAAGTTTTTTTTTAATATCTCTTAAAACTTTATAATAGAAAATTAAAATATTTTAAATAATTGTTACAAACAAGCCTTAAGACTATTTAGAAAATAAGTCTTTAAAAATATTGATCAATATTTTTATAATAATAGACAATAATTTTAATTTATCTTTTTGTTTTTAGTTTAAAATTTAAAATATTTAATTTTGTACTTGTTAAAATTATGGATAACCCTTTGTCCTTTGTTGTGTAGGATTGCCAGTGATGCTTAAGGTATTTGACAATGTTTTAGGGTTATCTCACACAGAATTGAGAAACACATAGTATTTAAGTTTGTCTTTTTTTTTGGATTGGAGATATTTTTTGCATTTTATGAATAAGATATATATATATATATATATATATATATATATATATATATATATATATATATATATATATATATATATATATATATATATATATATATATATATATATATATATATATATATATATATATATATATATATATATATATATATATATATATATATATATATATATATAAAAGACTTCTTGTGTTTAGGGTGAACGACCAGTAGAGCACTTTCCTTATTTTTTCAGTCACTAGTGTGGGAATATGGGCTACTCAACTCTTGCTTATACAATGAGGGAGAGATTGTTGTTTTCGGATTTGAAAAATTGAGTTTGGCACAAGGAAATTATCGGGACGAGTCGTGTACTAGGTCGCTTTCTTTAAAACGTTTCGCTGTACTGCCAAAATATGCAAAGCAGTCGATTTACGACGACGTCTCCAGGATAAAACAGTCCGTTCAAAAAACTTACGATTGATAAATCGCTCTAGAAATACACCTTTTTAAGTCACAGTATCTGGCGAAAATAGCCAGTTGAAAAAAGCAAGAAAAGAGGATTTGTAGACGAAGAGAATTAAGGGAGAGAAGATGAAAAAATTTGTGGGAGAATGAGAATACTGGATCTAGTCAACATGGCAGTTACTGACCAATTATTGATCTAGTCAATATGGCAGTTACTGACCAATTATTTTCTTAATTAATTAATATTTATTATTAATTAATTTTCCACCGAATTATATTAATTAATTAATGATAATTAAATTCTATAAATTCAGGTCCAAAAAATAATTCATCTAGACCGGACCGGACCGAGCCGAGTCGGCCGGCCGGACGGCGGCGGCGGCGCGCGCGCGTGTGTTTCTTGATGGTCATGGGTGTGTCCTCACTCCTTTCACAAAATTGGGTGCCCTTTAGGGCCCAACCTAATTGACCAAGTTGGAATATATAAACACTACTAATATTTCCATTCCCTTCAATGTGGGACTAAAATGAATCTTTTCAAATTCACTTCTATATTAGTTCTTACTTGTGTTCATTTATTGTCCATTAATTGTCAATAAACTTTCCAATTCCCACTCTAATTAATATAATTCCAACATTCCCCCACTTGAATTTAAAAGAGATTTTAGAAGTACGTCAGACGTTTCTAAGATTGAGCATAAGCAAAGGTGTCTACGACTTGAACCTTAGCTTAGCGAGTATGATTCTGATTCAACATGAGTGACACCATTGTCTTGAACTCTATCTCGGACATCAGACCCGCACACAATCTTTCCGTAAGGTGTATTCTTGTAGCCCGTTCTTTAGTGGCCCTGCACGTGTATCCCGGTTTAGTGAATGCTCTAGGAATTCTGCCTCGAAATTCCATAGGAACCGGCCTCAGTTCCACAGTCACATAGGTGAATCTATCAAGAGTACTCTTGTAGCCTAGGTATTCCCTCATACAGAGTATAGATCTCATTAAGAGTTTCTATTATCTCATCCTCTCATTACTTCAGGATTATGCTTTTCTTGCATGATCATTTTCATATTGCTCACAACTTGTTATTACCCATTGAACCTAAGTCTTGGGATCTCCAGTCATTTAGGTCGGGTTACCATCATGAGTAACTAATTGCTTTATAGGCATCAGTCCCATCTTTTTGGATGTATTATGGACTTTCTCTCTAGCTAATCCTTTCGTCAAAGGATCTGCTAAGTTCTCATCAGTGCGTACATGATCCACTCTCACAGCTCCTTTAGAGATACAATCTCTAACAGTGCTATGTTTTCTTCTAATTTGACGTCTTTTACCATTATAATAACGGTTCTCAACTTTTGCAATAGCCGCGGTACTATCGCAGTGGATCAACACAGCCGGTATAGGTTTTTCCCATAAAGGAATCTCAGCTAGCAAGCATCTTAACCAACTTGCTTCTTCACTAGCTGTAGCTAATGCTATCATCTCAGACTCCATTGTGGACTGCGCCATAATGGTCTGTTTCTTTGATTTCCAAGATACAGCTCCTCCGGCTATACTAAATATATAACCACTAGTAGCTTTCGAATCATCCGATAAGGTGTTCCAATCTGCATCACTATACCCTTCTAGTACAGCAGGAAATTTCTGATAGTGTAGGCCGAGGTCCATAGTCCTTTTAAGTACCTCATTACTCGCTCAATAGCTTGCCAATGTTCGTTACTCGGCCTACTTGTAAATCTGCACAACAATCCTACGACACATGTAATGTCGGGTCTAGTACAATCAGTGGCATACCTAAGACTGCCAATGATGCTCGCATATTCTGCTTGTTTGACACTTTCTCCAGTGTTCTTAAACAGTTTCACACTTGGATCATACAGAGTGCATGCAGGTTTACAATCAAAGTATTTATATTTCTTTAAGATCTTCTCCACATAGTGAGATTGATCCAAAGAAATTCCTTGTTCGGATCTCGTGATCTTGATACCCAGGATCACGCTTGCTTCTCCGAGGTCTTTTATATCAAAGTTATTGCATAACAATGATTTCATATCATTAATGGCCTGAACGTTTGATCCAAATATAAGTAGATCGTCTACATATAGACATATGATAGTGCAAATGCGATTCTCAGATTTGTAATAAACGCACTTGTCACTTTCATTCACTTTGTACCCATTAATTATCATTAAGTTATCAAACTTTTCATGTCATTGTTTAGGGGCTTGTTTTAGTCCATACAGAGACTTATCTAAGTTACAGACCTTACTTTCTTGTCCTTGGATTACAAACCCTTCTGGTTGTTCCATATAGATTTCTTCTTCTAAGTCACCATTTAAAAAAGTTGTTTTAACATCCATCAGGTTTTAGTTTCTTTTTCAAAACCCATTTACAACCAATTGGTTTTCAACCCGGGGGCAAGTCTACTAAGTGCCAGTTCTTGTTAGATTCTAGAGAATCTATCTCATCATTAATGGATTCTTGCCATAAGTCTGCATCCATAGATGACAGTGCTTCTTGAAGATTTATTGGATCTTCTTCTACATTATAGGCCGCATAATCGGCCCCATATTCTTTAGCAACTCTTGCTCTTTTACTTCTTCGAAGTTCTGTTTCTACATTGTCGCTGCTTTCAGTGCTTTTTATCACAGGAATGTGACTCGATTGTGAGCCCCCACTATGTCTCGATTTGAAAGGAAATTTGTCTTCATAGAATTCAACATCGTTTGATTCTATGATAACTCTGGCATTTAGGTCATAAAACCTGTATGCCTTACTGTTTGCTGCATACCCAATGAATACGCATTCATAGGCTCTACTAGCGAGTTTAACTCGTTTCAGATCCGAAATTCTGACATAAGCCAGACAGCCCCAAGTTCTAGTATAAGTGTAAGGGGTGTGGGGTAAAATTTCCATAAAATGAATGACTCGTTTTAATTTTTAATATTTATTTTTCAATGTTGTTCTTTAATTAATATTATTTTTATTATTCTAAATATTTATAAGAGGCACTTTAGTAAAAATATATCATTTTCTCTGTTTCATTCATTTTTTTTAATCTATGTGAAATGATCAACTAAATCACTCATGATAAGATGGAAAGAATAAAATTTTATGACAGAATATTCATTAATATTTAAATCAACTTCTCTCTCGTTTTTATTTTGATTATTTTTAAAATTTTAGAATTTACATAATATGTCATAGAAAAAGATATTAATTGAAACAAACTTTCCATTTAATACTTTTACAAAAATTGTTATAACAAAAAACTAAAATCTTTTTAAGTTTTTTAAACAATTTAGAAAAGCAACTTTAAAAATTATAAACTTTTAACAACAATGTATATTAATTTGAATTTATCTTTTTGTTTTTAGAATTATTTATTTAAATTTTCAAATATTTAATAACCATATTAAATTAATTTAACTCATATTTAAATAACTTAACTTTGTTTTAGATTTAAAGTGTTGATATTTAATTCATGATTATATAAATTTAAGATTCATATATTAAAAATTCATCAAGTTAATTAAGTATTTCGATAAAGTAAATCAAATTTAATTTTATTTATTTCTTAACTAGAATAATCAAGGCTAGCAGTCTAAATATTTCGGTTAACATAAATCTTACGGATTTTTAAGTTTCACTCTATATTCCACTTTTTATATATTTTATTGTTTAATTTAATATATTTATTAAAATAAGTAGCTTACTTTTTAACTGTGACTATTAATTTCATGTAATTTATTTACAAT